GGGGATTGAACTTGTGCTTGCGTGGCCGGTGACGAAACCACTGATCTAAATCTCTGGCCCCCATTGTTTTAATTCATGTAGTTCAAATTTTTTCATTTTCTACTGAGGACTGAAAATTTGCTCTTCTCAAAAATAATCATTATCTTTTTTCACATTAGAAATCCCAAAAGGCTGAAATGCTGTAGAGTGACTTTATGCTTCACCTTGGTGACCATGACTTTGTAGACAGTATCCATAGTCACTTCCATGATCGTGATTCAGTGATTTCTGCTTATTAAGTAGTAAATCTGTTTTCTTTCAGTAAGCACATAAAGGCATGTATATCAAAGTATAGTGCTCTATTAAATGTCTTCCTTTGTGGTCCAGCTACAAGTACTGAATAGATGGACTTAGTGCAGTGCAGCTGCTGCTTTGCAGCCACTGAGCTAGGGCCCAGTGCCCAGGTTAGGGCATGGCTGTGGCAGGCTCCTCCATACACCACTGTGCCCAGTAAGGGAGTAGGGATGGGCAGGGTATTGTGGTACTGGGATGCAGGTACTCGTGGTCAGCAGATGGCCAGCCACAGTGATGTCACAAGGAGGAGCTAATTTATCAAAGATACATATTGTGTTCAATTCTGAAAGTAACTAGCATTTTGAAAATATTCTTGAAAGTTATTTTTTTTAAACATGATAAAATCAATTTAACTAGTAATACAACAGAAATAAGCATTACTTGTAACATATGGTAATTATTACTACTTTGGTCATCAGCGTGTTTAGATTTGTTTTTCTTCCTGTAGGTTTCCTGTACCCCATGTAGCATACCAATTGGAACCCCTGTAAGTGGCTATGCTCTCTACCAGCGGCACATTAAGGCAATGCATGAGTCAGCACTACTGGAGGAACAACGGCAGAGGCAAGAACAGATAGATTTGGAATGTAGAAGCTCTACAAGTCCATGTGGCACTTCCAAGAGTCCAAACAGAGAGTGGGAAGGTAGGTAGAGAGAGATTTTACTAAAATAACTTTTCTGAAGAGAAACAAAGCAAAACCCATAAATAATGTCCTTTTTTCTTTGTAAGTAATGAGCATGTCAGTCAGTCGGTTAACATCTGTCCTGATGGATAGGATTCCTTAAATTAATCTCAGTTAAACTATAATGTATTATTTGAGTATTAAAGGTTGGCAGTAACATTTTTAATAGAGTTCCATTTGCTGGAAGACTTTATAAAAGCCATACGTTATGGTCTATTCATCTGAATTTTCAGAGAAAGTGACAAGTGTCCTATGCTTGAAGCAAATTACCTGTGATAGTGTATATTCTGATTCTGTGATAAGATAAAGACAGTTTTATGTTAGTGGATGTCAATCATATCTTGACTTAATCTTTATTCTTCATTACCCAGCTGGATGGCTGTGAGCAACACTTGACTTTCATAGCTTTAGTTTTTTCATCTGTGCAGTGAAAACAATAATTTATATCCACCTCACTGGGATTGTGAAGAAAAAAATGAGCATTTGTTATTTTATATAACAGAATTCAGCATTATTTTATGCACAACGTAATGTATTCTGTACTAATTAGCAAATTAGTTTATACACAGTACAATAGATGATATGGAAGTTCTTGTTATGTTACCATTGTTATTTCAAATGATAGATTCAAGTTGGTACATGCTGTTTAATTGTGACATGATACATAATGTGGCTAGAACAATTGACACATGTATTCTGGTTGGTAATGTATTTGTAGATTACTTATATGCTACAGTATACTTAGAATGTAAGAATACTAAAAATTTTAATGGAAGATTTCTAAGATCCTTTGTATTACCAAATAAGACCAGTCAGTTTTTAAATGTTACACATACACGTGAACACTTATTTTAGTATAAAACAGAGGCATGGAATTTAACTGATTCTCTCAAATTCTGTCCAAGTCACATCAGTGATGAGTTACTTGTTATATAACACTGAATCTACTATGGTAGATTTAAGTGTAAACTTATTAATATTTTAAACATAAATATTATGCTAGAAAGAATGTGAACCAGGATGATAATACCCATTAAGGCATATAAAATGTGCAGTTATTTCTTGAATGGATAGAAAAAGCTCGGTAACTGTTAGGTGTTTGCTACATTACATCTAAAGAATCCTTAATCTCCTAGTTTGATAACTAACACAACAGATACTCAGCAATCATATATGGAATGCATGAATAAATGAATAACACAATGGAGATATTTTCATCACATTACACTATAGGGTACTAGTGGTGCTAATAACCTTAATCAGAGGTGTTTGTCTTTTGAGCATCCTAATTATGAGGAAATCTGTCAATAGCAAATGATAAATTACAGGATAATCTAAAACTTTGTTGATCTATCCCTTATAAATTATTAACCAAAGGTTTTTTGGTGAAGAATAGGTAAAATTTAGAAAAAAAAATCCAAATGGTATCATTTGTTGAGTTTTGGCTAAAACACAACAAGTATTAGTTAATAATATCTGGGTGATTCTGTTGTATTCAATATAGCTATTTTAGGGTCTCAACAACTTCTTGGTCTACTTCAAATTGTATGTAGGTTACACTGAAGTGACTGAACCAATTTAGACCCCAAAATTTTGAGTTTCCAAACTGGATCTTTCTGTGATTAGTCACATTAGTCTAGGTTGTTTAGAGCTCAGTGTATGCTAATTTTGAAATCATAACACAATAATCTTCACACCGAATTATAGATCAGTATGACATTAAGAATTTTACACTTTGGCTCAAGATGATTTCTTACAAAGTGAGGCAGTAAGGGGCTGGGGATTTAGCTGAGTGGTTCCACCGCCTGCCACGTAAGCACAAGGTCCTGAGTTCAGTCCCCAGTGCCAAAAAAAAAAAAAAGTGAGGCAGTTGGTTATATTTTATTCAAGGGCAAAGTCTTGTTTTGGCTAATAAAGTAATATATTCATCCAGTAGTTTAGTTAACCAAACATCTAATGTCTGTCCTCGAAGTTACAGCTATCTTGTTAATCAGTGTGTGAGGTAATCTTCCAAATAACATTTAAATGTTTGTAATTAAGTTGCTTGTTTGTGTGTGTACTTGACACAGATGTTTTAAATGCAGCTTCATAAAACAGTTTATAGAATGTGAAAAATAGCGAGAATGTGGATGTATGTATAAAACACCATCAAATACTGGTATAATCCATCTGAATTTAGACCGTGCTTTGTTTACTTTTTTTGTTTTTTGGTACCAGGGATCGAACTTGGGTCCTTGCGCTTGCACAGCAGGCTACAAAACCACTGAGCTAAATCCCCGGCCCTTGTTTACTTTTTTTAATGGTCTCATTTAGAAAATACTAGGCAACACTTACCACCTGTTTGATTGTACTCATCATTTCTTTTGTTTTGTTTTTTTTTGTACCGGAGATCAAACTCAGGACCTTGTGGTTGTGAGGCAGGCCACAGCAACACTGAGCTAAATCCACGGCCCTGTTCATCATCTCTTAATGGAAATGCTACAAACAGTTGTAGATGTGTCTTTTTTATATTGCTTAAAACATTTCTCATCTGTAGAAAAACTTCGTAAACACCCAAATAGTTCCAGTAGTAACATTTACATGAGTTGACTCCTGCCTTCCTGCTAATTTTGAAGCTGTTTTATTTGTTTTGCTTTTCCAGCTCTGGGTACATGTTGATCTAAATAGCTATGCTTAAAA